AAAAAAAAAAAAAAAAAAAAAAAAACCACACCCCGAGCAAGGGCCGCAGCGGGTGCTGGAGGGCTCGCCAATGCCGGGCGCGCTTTGTGCCTGGACCGCCTTGGATTTTGCCCCAGCGGTATGCAAAGTAACAGGGAGCTGCAGAGCTGCTAAAAAATTAAGTTTGAAGAGCACGAGGAAGGGGAGGGGAAAGGACCCAGGAAGAGCGAACGAAGGGGAGCCGCTACTGAAACACCCCCCAAAAAAACGGCGAGGGGGACTGAGCCCACGCCCAGCCCCCAAGCCCCGTGGATGCGGGGAAGGACCCACCAGCGAAGCACCCCCGGCAATGGGTGGGAGCCGGGGCCGGCAGCACCCACCACCCTCCGGTGCAACGGCTCCCCGCACCCATGCAAGCTCCTGAGCACCTGCAGCACCGGCCGTGCCCACGTGCATCAGGCTGCAAAACCTCCCCCCCACTCCGCGGAAAGGGTGAACTACACCAGTACAAGGCCAGGTCGTTCCCCCCCCCAGGGACACTGGGGTGTCCCAGACACGCTGGAGCAGCACAAGGGGTGACACCGGGTGCTGGCGCTGCCATAAAGAGGCACAATTGCCCCCTCGCTGGGGAGATGCGAACCAAAAACCCAAAAGCCTGGATGGAGGCAGGCGATCCCCTGCCGAGGGTGAAGTGTGACCGAGCAGCAGCGGCGGGGGGCCGGGGGCTGCACCCCAACATCCACCCCGTCCATCCCTCCCCGCTCCTTCGTACAAGTAAAGCAGCAATGCGCGACGCCGGCCTCCCTCCAGCAACACCCGCCCGCGGCAGCTGTAAACTTGTTTAAAACAATAACTTAAAATCAAAAGACTGAAAAAAAAAAAGGAAAAAAAAAAAAAGAAAAATAAAAAAAAGAAAGGAAATCAGGTGGGAAAAATACGCGGCGCCTCCGGCCTCGCAGCTCCTTTGGAGGTACCGGGGGGATGGGGCTGCACCCACACTGCAAGAGATGGGGTTCGGTTTGTGCCCCCCAGCCCGGGCAGGGTCACTGGTGTCCGGCAGAGCCTGGGTGGGAGCTGGCGGCGGCGGACGAGCCAGGAGAGGCCGGAGGGCGAGGGGAAGCGGGCGGCCTGGCAAACTTCCTCGCCCTGGTATTTCGGCAGCAGCGAGGGAGCGAGCGAGGCTGCGGCGCGGGGAGAAACACGGGTCGAGTGGAGACACCTAGCGAAGGCCGGCACGGCACGGCACGGCACCACGCCGGCGAGCACCCACACACCACGACGGCCGCCAACGTGTGGGGCTGGGGAGGGGATTGCAGGATTTTCCGGGTTTTTAGGGAGGGGAAAGGGCCCCTCTGCAACACCAGCCGGGGGGGATGCTGGTGACCCCCGTTAATAGCCCCACCGAGCTGTGCCTCCCCCCCCGGGCGGCTGCTGCTCCCCGAGGGTCTCGGCATCCCCCAGACGGTGCCGGGGTGGCACAGGGAAACAAGACTGGGGGGTTTCGCTCAGCCTCACCGATGGCTGCAGGGGGGAGCCAGGGACCCCTCCACCTCTGCAGCCACCTGGTACCGAGGATGCAACAGACAGCAAAAAGGATGATGCGAGTTACGGGCTCGCCCCAGGGACACATACCACAGGGCCAAGAGCCCCTTGGGGATGTCACAGAGGTGATGCACGGGGACAAACAAGCACACCCCGCCACGACCCACAGCTGCGTGCTGCATTTTCAACCCAAAACGCAGCTCCTGGGGTGCTGGTGGCCAGGACCCCGGTACAGGGCTGGGGGCCATGTGCTGAGGCAGTGAAGCAGCCCCCACCGCCAATGTCTCAACCCGGGGTACCAGGGACAGGGAGGGACGGAGCAGCGCTCAGGGTCGCTTTGGGAGAGCCTGGAGTTGGGCTCAAAAACGAGAGCAGCTCTATGTCCATCACAGCAAGTCCCCCAAGATCCTGCTGCGTGCCAGGACAGCCAGTGCCAGCCCGGCCGTGCTGGGGGAAGGTGCTGGTCCCCGAGGAAGGTGCTGGTCCCCAAAGCCAGCACGGGGCACCGGGGAGGCCACGGCTGCCTGCCGGGAGGAGCCCGGCGCTGGGTACCCACATCACCACCACAGAAAGAAAGAGCAGGGAGAAGAGGGGTGTTTGGTTGTGTTGTTCTCGTTATTATTAATACTTTTTTTTTTTTTTTTTGGCATTAATACCATCTGTTCACCTGAACTACGGACCTTCTGTCTCTAGAAATCTTTTGGTATCTTCCCATCTGGACGCACACACACACAAAAGGATAATGAAAAGAAAAGATGAAAGCGGGAGCCCCGGTGGCAGCAGGCTCGGCTCCCCCGCCAACGAACAGAGTA